GGCTGTGTGCCTCTGGTGCCTTGTCATGTGGAAAGGTCATTGTCAGTTAATGTTCATAGAAACATAAGTCCATATATATGTGTGTGTGTGTGTATACAGTATATATACAGTCAGGTCCATAAATATTGGGACATGGACACAATTCTAACATTTTTGGCTCTATACACCACCACAATGAATTTGAAATTAAACGAACAAGATGTGCTTTAACTACAGACTGTCAGCTTTAATTTGAGGGTATTTACATCAAAATCAGGTGAACGGTGTAGGAATTACAACAGTTTGCATATGTGCCTCCCACTTGTTAAGGGACCAAAAGTAATGGGACAATTGGCTTCTCAGCTGTTCCATGGCCAGGTGTGTGTTATTCCATCATTATCCCAATTACAATGAGCAGATAAAAGGTCCAGAGTTCATTTCAAGTGTGCTATTTGCATTTGGAATCTGTTGCTGTCAACTCTCAAGATGAGATCCAAAGAGCTGTCACTATCAGTGAAGCAAGCCATCATTAGGCTGAAAAAAACAAAACAAACCCATCAGAGAGATAGCAAAAACATTAGGCATGGCCAAAACAACTGTTTGGAACATTCTTAAAAAGAAGGAACGCACCGGTGAGCTCAGCAACACCAAAAGACCCGGAAGACCACGGAAAACAACTGTGGTGGATGACCAAAGAATTCTTTCCTTGGTGAAGAAAACACCCTTCACAACAGTTGGCCAGATCAAGAACACTCTCCAGGAGGTAGGTGTATGTGTGACAAAGTCAACAATCAAGAGAAGACTTCACCAGAGTGAATACAGAGGGTTCACTACAAGATGTAAACCATTGGTGAGCCTCAAAAAACAGGAAGGCCACATTAGAGTTTGCCAAATGACATCTAAAAAAGCCTTCACAGTTCTGGAACAACATCCTATGGACAGATGAGACCGAGATCAACTTGTACCAGAATGATGGGAAGAGAAGAGCATGGAGAAGGAAAGGAACTGCTCATGATCCTAAGCATACACCTCATCAGTGAAGCATGGTGGTGGTAGTGTCATGGCGTGGGCATGTATGGCTGCCAACGGAACTGGTTCTCTTGTATTTATTGATGATGTGACTGCTGACAAAAGCAGCAGGATGAATTCTGAAGTGTTTCGAGCAATATTATCTGCTCATATTCAGCCAAATGCTTCACAACTCAGAACTCACAGTGCAGATGGACAATGACCCAAAGCATACTGCAAAAGCAACCAAAGAGTTTTTTAAGGGAAAGAAGTGGACTGTTATGCAATGGCCAAGTTAATCACCTGACCTGAATCTGACTGAACATGCATTTTACTTGCTGAAGACAAAACTGAAGGGAAAATGCCCCAAGAACAAGCAGGAACTGAAGACAGTTGCAGTAGAGGCCTGGCAGAGCATCACCAGGGATGAAACCCAGCATCTGGTGATGTCTATGCGTTCCAGACTTCAGGCTGTAATTGACTGCAAAGGATTTGCAACCAAGTATTAAAAAGTGAAAGTTTGATTTATGTTTATTATTCTGTCCCATTACTTTTGGTCCCTTAACAAGTGGGAGGCACATATGCAAACTGTTGTAACTCCTACACCGTTCTCCTGATTTGGATGTAAAAAAACTCAAATTAAAGCTGACAGTCTGCAGTTAAAGCAAATCTTGTTCGTTTCATTTAAAATCCATTGTGGTGGTGTATAGAGCCAAAAATGTTAGAATTGTGTCCATGTCCCAATATTTATGGACCTGACTGTGTATATATATATATATATATATATATATATGTTTGTGTGTGTATGTATGTATATATATATATATATATATATATATATATATATATATTGAATATGGCTAAAATTGTAGCATTTGAAATACATGACATTATATTTGGGAAGAATATTTTCTAAATATATTTCAAAATATATTTTTCTTCCATATGGGCTGGGCGAAGCACAGACTGGCACTGTCTGTGTGGGACGCTGCTACGTCATGAGTGATCATTCAGCTGAGAGGAAGGGTGGCAGAGGGGAGGAAGAAAGGGACAAAGGAAGATGCTGGGTGTCTGAGGCCAGTGTAGCAGCTGAGCTGCCATTCCTTCCAGTGTTCCTCTCAGACTCAGTCCATTACTGCAAGCCAACTGGCGGGTGCTGATCACTGTGGAGTTCCAGCTCTTCTCTTCCAAGTCATCAGTGGAGGCGGAGCTGCACCTGCGGAAGAAGGTAATGTCTGACTCTGATGTCTTGTGTCTGTGTGAGTGTGACCCAGCCGGCCGGACATCCATCACATGTGCAATGTGTCAGTGAGTGATGACATCATCACGATCCCACAGCCAGCTCTTCTAGTGCCTGCTGATTTGTGTCAGTGTTGGTGTGTTGTGTCGGATCTGTCACTGTGTAGGGTCTCTCAGTTCACCTGCCTGCTGTCACAGCATTTTATCTCCCCCCATTGCCTGGTGAATTCCAGCCTGGGATCTGTCAGAGTGTGGACCCATTATCCTCCACTCACTGCAACTGTCACCCTGCCACTGCCAGCCACAGATACAGTCTGTCTGTGACACTGATTTTGTCTTCAATATTCGTGCTGGTGGCATCTCATGGCACTTATTTTTGCAAATTAAAAGAAATTTATCAGTTTCATGTTTTGTTGATTTAATATTGTCTACCGTTTTGAAAATGTTCTTTTTTGGGGGGGGGGGGCCACAAGTAGCTGGTCTTGCCTAGGGCACAAATTAGTCTAGCACCGGCTCTGATCACACCTCTCAGACCCTTTTATTATGTATGTTTATTTCTGTAAAGCCCTCGCCAACGTTAACAAATGATGGCAATATTTGCAGCCATGAGTTTTCACCTGACATTGAAACTATCACGGAGACTAAGAACCACTTTTTCTGAGAGCCAGTGACTTTTGAGAACATCTGATTGCACTTGCTTTGCAAGTGAAATGAACTCGGCTCTGAACCAAAGACCATGTGAACTTTACTTGAGTATTTTTCACTTTTCATCACATTTATTTTAGTGTTTTGTATGTCTACTTTGCAATAACTTTTATGTAAATATTTTCATGCACCGTTTTCCTTTCTTTTCATTAAAGCCGTATTTGAAAGCTGAACCTCTGAAAGCCAAAATTAATAATTAAAGAACTTTGCCTCTGTAAGGAGCTAACATAGTGTAAACTCTGTTACATTCCTGTCTGGGTGTAGCAGTGAGTGGTACAGACACTTTGTGGTGAGAATTTCAACAGAAGATGCAATTAACTGTGCATGGTTCAGTTATGACATGTGGTGGGTACTATCAAGTATGCATGTGTGTGTGTACTACTCAGTTAACCTTCCCCAGTAACTGGAGCATAGATTATTTTATCAGAGCAAGAAAATCTCTGCACAGGCTGAGGCCGAGTTTAAGATCGTCACACAGGGTGCTGTAGATATCTCTCTGAAAATTTCACAGCACCCTGCCTCAGTACTCTCAAGATCCTATAACCCTTATACAAGTAGTTGGATGGCCTTTGATGGAGGTTATGCAAATATTAAAATACCTTGAAGGTGCAAGTGTCAGTCTGGTGGAATGAGTGTTGCTTGGCAGACTATACTGTACTTGCATGATGTGCCTCTCTGATTAAAAGAAGTGAAATCTAATGAATACAATGGGCGGGCCAGACACAGGATGAGGAAGAAAAGGTTAGCTGATGCTGTGCATCCTGAAGCCAATAATTGAGACAGACTGTATGTTGCAACTTTAATGCAGACTGTGATAAATGTGTGCTGTAAAATCAGGGCAAGCAATTTAAATGCAGGAGAGGAGCCTGTACATGTACAATTATGCAACACTGAAGGTAAGCCTGGAGTTCAGCTTTAAAGTCTAACTTCAGCCTTTTTTAATTAAATGAACTCACACTTTCTCCCGTATAAAAATATGTCAAGCGTATTCCTCACTCCAGCACTGTTCCACATGTCCCCTTCGTAGTCCAGTGTCAAGAATGGGGATGAGAGACCTGTACTGAGGGGTATGTTCTGGGGAGGGGGGTTGTCTGCACTGAGGGGTCTGTACTGGGAAGGGGGAATTGGGGTGTCTGTACTGAGAGGTTCTTTACTGGGGAGGAGGGGGGTGTCTGTACTGGGAGGTCTGTAATGGGGGAAGGGGTGTTTCTACTACTGAAAGGTCTGTCCTGGGGATTGATGGGGGACACCCCCTTTGTACTCAGAGGTCTGTACTCGGGGGCGGGTAATGGGGGGTATCTGTAATAGGATCTGTACTAGGGGGTTGTTCTGCACTGAGGGGCCTGCACTGGAGAGAGTTCTGTACTGAGGGGACTGTACTGGGGGTGTTCTGTACTGATGCTTCTGTACAGAAGGGTCTGTACTTAGGGTTTGCACTGATGGGAGAGGTGTGGGTGGAAAGGAAATTAGGAGAGGGGTCTGTGCTAGGGGGGGGGTCTGTCTGCACTGAGGTGTCTGTGCTGGGAGTGTCTTACTGCACTGAGGAGTCTGTGCAGAGGGGGGTCCTTCCATACTGAGAGGCCTTTGCATGGGGAGCGAGTCTGTACTGAGGGGGGATGTAAAAAAATCATCAGCCCCAGGTGCCAGTTGTGCCACTGCAAAGACTGCTGGGAAAAGGTATATATGAACATTTTTTCTAATTAAAGGCGGAAGGGCAGAAAACATTAAAGTGTGGTAGGCCTTTATTGTATAATAAATATCACATAACTACATCCAGTGGTATTTTTATACATACAGTATTGGCCTGAAGCTCAGTTATAATGCATTTAAATGTACACAGACATATATGTTTTTATGAGACAGAGCATCTTGCATTTTATTAGACTTTGTAAGTCACAGCACATCATTTAGTTAGTACAAGCTATTCTAAAATTCCCAATTAAAAAAGATGCAAAAAAAAATACAGTACAAACTTACTGTATATAAAAGGTTATATAGTACTGGAAAGTGACAATAGCATACATTACAGTACATGTATAACTCTGACTGTGCACAAATTTATGGTTCTTTCACCAGGGGACAATATCTCCTTCCCAGTTTACAAGAATTCCAGCATGTTTCTCTGAAAGTTTGTCCAACACCTTGATTATTCCTTTTACACTTTGATCAACTGTAAGATGGGCCTAGAAAAAATAAGTATGTATAAATAAAACAGCATTGTTTAAACTGTGATTTGCCAAAATATTCATTATTAATAGTTTAGCCTTTTTCTACATTATTTTTCATTTTCATTGTGCAATCTCTGCACCATGGTGGCCATATACACTTTGATTTTATTTTCTGACTGATGTTTGATTCAATCAAAATGATCGAATCTGCAAACAATCAAATAGCCATAACTTCAGTTCTGATTTAGTTTGGATTTGATCAAATTGAGTCAGTAAGCCAGGGCTGAAAATTATCAGTCGTTTTGCATCGATCAGCAGCACTGAGATTCATTGTTTATGAATACAATTATACACTGCTCAAAAAAATTAAAGGAACACTTTGAAAACACATCAGATCTCAATGAGGAAAAGTATCATGCTGGATATCTATACTGATATGGACTGGGTGATGTGTTAGGAACATAAGGATGCCCCATCATTTGATGGAAATAAAAATGATCAACCTACAGAGGACTGAATTCAAAGACACTCTGAAAATCAAAGTGAAAAAATGATGCAGCAGGCTAGTCCATTTTGCTGAAATTTCATTGGAGCAACTAAAAATGGTACTCCATTTTTTGTGTGGTCCCCATGTGCTTGTATGCATGCTTGACAACATGGGGGCATGCTCGTAATGAAATGATGGATGGTGTCCTGGGGTATTTCTTCCCAGATCTGGACCAGGGCATCACTGAGCTCCTGGACAGTCTGAGGTGCAACCTGGCAGCATCGGATGGACCGAAACATGATATCCCAGAGGTGTTTGATTGGATTTAGGTTAGGAGAGTGTGGGGGCCATTCGATGGTATCAATTCTTTCATCCACTAGGAACTGCCTGCATACTCTCGCCACATGAAGCCAGGCATTGTTGTGCGCCAGGAGGAATCCAGGACCCACTGCACCAGCGTGCATGTGGTCAATGTAAACCTGCTCTCATCTGTGAAAAGCACAGCGGAGGTCCTGCCAATTCTGATGTTCAATTGCAAATGCCAATCGAGCTCTATGGTGCCGGGCAGTGAGCACAGGGCCCACTAGAGGATGTCAGGCCCTCAGGCCACCCTCATGGAGTCTGTTTTTGGTTGTTTGATCAGAGACATTCACACCATTGGCCTGCTGGAGGTAATTCTGTAAGGCTCTGGCAATGCTCATCCTGTTCCTCTTTGCACAAAGCAGCAGATACCGGTCCTGCTGATAGGTCAGGGACCTTCTACGGCCCTGTCCAGGTCTCCTAGAGTAACTGCCTGTCTCCTGGAATCTCCTCCATGCTCTTGAGACTGTGCTGGGAGACACAGAAAACCTTCTGGCAATGGCAGGTATTGATGTGCCATCCTGGAGGAGTTGGACTGTCGGTGCAACCTCTGTAGGGTCCAGGTATCGCCTCATGCTACCAGTAATGACACTGACCCTAGCCAAATGCAAAACTAGTCAGAAAAGATAAGTAGGAAAAAAAAGTCAGTGGCCTCCACCTGTAAAACTGCTCCTGTTCTGGGGGTCGTCTCATTGTTGCCCATCTAGTGCACCTGTTGTTCATTTTATTACGACAAAAGCAGCTGAAACTGATTAACACCCCCTCTACTACATAACTGATCAGATCAATATCCCAAGAGTTTAATTGACTTAATGCTGTACTTTGATTAAAAAGTGTTCCTTTAATTTTTTTTGAGCAGTGTATCTCAACTAATCATATTTTAGGATTACAAGGTGGAAACAGAGATGCAATTGATATTTTATCATCATAAGTTACGATTGTATCTTAACTATTGAACAATATTCACCCTGCATGTGTGCATATTGATTGAATGGGTTGTCAACTATAGGTTGATTATTCAAATAGGAAGAGATTGATTGGAAAAGTAATCTCTCATTTATCCAAGGATGTATGGCCACCATTAGATTTAACAAAATTTTCAATATGAGAGCTAGCCAAAACAATTTGATTCATTTATATCCAATCAGACAGGTCCTTGCACTGCAAAGTTGGTAGATCTAAGAAGATTGTATAATCAGATTGTAACATTGATGCTCAGCTTCAGGCTGGGGGCAAAGCTTTTTATGACAGACCATTGGCATATTTATTAAAAGAGAAGTGTGGGGGGTTTCGGGGATTCTATTCTTTCTTGGATTCAAGCCTTGTATTCTTTCCCTTCAGCTTCCATTAAGTACGCTGGGTATTTCTCAGATCCTTTTCCTATTTGGCGAGGGATGAGACAGGGCTGCCCCCTGTCCCCGGCGCTCTTTGTCCTGGTGCTTGAGCCGCTGGCTTTGGCGCTCGAGACCGATTGTAATGTATCAGGGGTTCCATACGCGGGACAGAAGTTCAAGTTGAACCTTTTTTGCAGACCATGCCCTCTTGACTCTCACGAATCCCCTGACGACGCTTCCAAATTTGCAACAGGTTCTTGAGCGCTTTTCTTTGATTTCGTGTCTCGGATTAATTTGGATAGGACTGTCGTGCTTAATATTACTTTGGCCTCAGATTTGGTTTCACGCCTACAGTCCCACTTCCCTTACAAATGGGCTTCTTCCTCTCTTAAATACCTAGGCATTCGCTTGACCCCCACCTATGACTCACTGTTTGCTGCAAATTATTATCCATTGCTTTACTCTGTGTCCTCTCTTATGCATTCATGGCAATTTTCACCCCTGTCTTGGATAGGACAGGTTTATTCAGTGAAAATGACCATCTTGCCAAAGTTGTTATACTATTTTCGCACCCTCCCAGTGCGGGTTCCTCCTCATTTTCTTTGGTTGATTCAGGCGAAGATTATGCATTTTATCTGGGCCGATAAACGCCCCAGAGTCTCCAGAACTACGCTTTTTGTTCATAGACTCCAGGGTGGTCTTGGGGTACCTAATGTATCTAAGTATTATCAGGCGAGCCAGATTGCCTCGCTGTCTATGTTGCACGCTTCCTCAGACGTTCCTCTCTGGGTCCTGCTGGAACTACCTAATTGTGCCCCTATTGCAACATTGATGCTTCTATGGCTTCCTCCTGACCTGCGCCCTACAACACTGAGTCCGATTTTGCTCCATGGCTTACAAGTGCGGGGTTCGGTTCGTTACTCCAGTGGCCTGATGTCACCTTTCCTGCCTTTGCTCCCAATTACTAACAACCCTCTCTTCCCACCAGGTTTAGATCAACCAAGGGTGTTTTCTTTGTGGGTGGCCAATGGTTTTTCGCAGGTGCGACACTTTTTGACTTCTTGGTTCTTTCCTACCTGAAATTTTCTTTGGGAGTCACGGGATGTCCCTCCCGCGGAATGTTTTTGTTACCTTCAATTGCAGCATTGGCACTTCTGCTTTCCCGTACCAGAAATCTGCCTTTGAACTGCTTTGCCAACAGCGTCCGGGCGCTCCAGGCCTTATTTCCCTTCTTTATGCAGCTTTGAACAGGCGCGCGACACATACTTCTCTTTCATATGTTGTTCAGTGGGAGCGCGACCTGGGGGCAGTCGTGGATCTGGAGGACTGGAATAGGGCCTGGTCGCTTATAGCTAAATTTTCATTTAATACGACCACGCTGGAGGCGGCATACAAAGTATTGTTTTCGTTGGTATTGGGTTCTGGCTCGTTTGGCCCAGGCGAACCCTGCCTGCAGTGATCGATGCTTTCAGGGTTGTGTGGCCAACGTGGTGATGTATTGCATGTCTGGTGTTTATGGTCTTGTGTGTTTGGCCTCCTTTTCACCTTGTTCCTCTTCAGGGGGTGCAGGACCGTATGACCACTATGATGCTCAATGAACAGATGTCGAGTATCTGCAACGACTCCCAATGTAAATTCTTGAAAATATGGGAGCCGTGGTTGCAATATGCCTTTCCTACACTCCCCCGGCTAGTCTGGGGATGTGATGTTGTTCAGCATTGGCATTCTTGAATCCCTGCTCTTGGTTTTGTTGTCTTTTTTCTTTTGTACTCCTTCTTCCTTTTCTTTTTTTTTTTGTTTTTTGGTGTGGCAGTGGATAGCTGCCTTTAGTTTGAGTTAGTATCAGTGTTATACTAATGTTTTGTTATTTAAATGCCATTGATAGCCCCTGCGTGGGCGCACCTTTTGTTCTGTTGGTGTTAGAGCACTGATTTTCTAATTTTTTATGTGCAATTGATAGCCCCTGCGTGGGAATGATTTGTTGCTCCTGTGTTAAACTGTTACAAATTAATAAAAACCTTTGAAATACAAAAGAGAAGTGTGGTAATTAGAAATAGCATATAATATTACTCACCTAGATGGCTGCAGCAGTTTTCGGAGCTGCAGTGTATCCTGCCGCCTCTACACCGAGTGCTGAACAATCAAAGACTGCTGATCATCGTACTGTAGAGGGGGCTTGAGCGGCTGGCTCAGCCTCTCAGCGGCACGCAGGTAAGACATCTGGGCAGATCCCAACTTTATTGTCAGGATCCCTGCAGAGCCTGGGCCGGATGTGTGATGTCAGTTGACAGTGGACTATAGCTCACTGTTGGCTGAATCTGGATCACAGGAGTGCAGACCTAAATGCACTCTTGTGACCCACAGGAAAAGTATGGAATGTGCTGTATAGGCGACTCTATTTTATTATATATAGGGTATTTTTTGGTAGGAGACGACAGACGGTGTTGATTTAGTTTCCAAACTGTTCTGTAAGATGACAACATAACGCTTTATACTGAACTAATTTAGAGAAATGTGGGTTTTGTCAAAATTTGATTACACAATCAAATAATTTTGCATGTTGAATATTTTTTGGTTTCTGGTTATTGAGCAGATTTGAGGTATACATACATGTGGTCCTCCAAGATCTGTTTGAACCCATCCTGGGTGAAGAGCAGTACAGAGTATTCCATCTTTTTTATAGCCCTCTGATTGACAGCGAGTCAGCATATTAAGAGCAGCCTGCAGATAAAGAATATTAATAACAGAATATTAAGCCATGAATGTTATCTAACCTGGGCATCTATAGGAATCAGTGCTGTAAATACAGTCATGGAAAAATGGGAAGAGTGCACTAGGTAGTTTGTTGAGGCACATAAAGTAGAACTTAGTCGTAAACCTCAGACATGAGATATGAACAATGCATATTCCTCTATAGTATGTACTTGTCTCAATTAGGAGCATTTCTGTCTGCTGCTGTGTTTCTCTGCTATCAGCATACATTCCTTATGACAAGTTTTTCTGACACCAAGAGAAAAATGGTGATGGGAAGGGAGCTCCAGCAGCTCTGTTACTGTGTGCTGTGTGGAGAAGGGTGTATCTCTTCCTCTAATCAACTCTCAGAGCTCTCCTCACTGAGCTCTGCAGAGTGTAACTTCAGCTCTCCACCCCCTTTTTCTGAACTCTCAGACAAGCTTTATAAATTCAGCAATTTGAATGGATTTAGAGGAGAGAAGACTGCAGATAGACCAGAACAACTAATGTAGGAAGATTTGTTTCATCTCCGTGTTTCACCTGAGGCAAGTCACTTTAATGGGTATATGTAAGGTTTTACAAACACTTTAAGGGAAATCTATTTTTCATTTTGGATAGAGTAATGGACAGCTATAACCAGGGATGGATCTAGGGGGATGCTGGGGTGGGCTAAGCCCACCCAAATTTCAGCTGCACCCCATCCCCAAAGCTAATTGCCGCCCTCCTCCTCCTCCCTGGACACTGTACTTGTCTGCTGAACCATACTTCACACAGCTGCACTTTCTCCCCTGTAGCTTTATAACCATAGTAGATGTACTGCCCAGTTTGTCATCAAGTCAAAGGGGGAAAGAGGGGGACCAGCAGGGTGGGGGAGGTTGCCTGTACCTTTCCCCTGTCATCTAATACAAGTCTATGTCCCTCGGTGAACTTCACTGTCTTCCAAGGTAGCAGGAGTTGGTGGGCGGGGCTGGGGTATGGCGTGTCTCCTCCACTCTTCCCAAAGACTCCTTCACTCAGGAAGCAGCAGCCAAGCCACTGGAAATCTTCAACCTCAGCCATGCTGTACTGTAAGTGACTGAGCACACTGTCATTACATACAGCCCCAGCCTGCCACTTCACTGCCCCAACTGCCACTTCACTGCTCCAGCCTGCCACTACACTGCCCCACCCTGCCACCACATTGCCCCAGCCTGCCACCACACTGCCCCAGCATGCCTACACTGCCCCAGCATTGCCACTACACACCAGCCTGCCACTACGCTGGCCCAGCCTTCCACTGCGCTGCCCCAGCCTGCCACCGCACTGCCTCAGCCTGCCAGCCACTGGCCCAGCATGCCACCACCACACTACCCCCAGCCTGCCACTACACTGGCCCCGCCTGCCACTACACTGCCCCACCCTGCCACCACATTGCCCCAGCCTGCCACCACACTGCCCCAGCATGCCACTACACTGCCCCAGCATGCCACTACACTGCCCCAGCCTGCCACTACACTGGCCCAGCCTTCCACTGCGCTGCCCCAGCCTGCCACCGCACTGCCTCAGCCTGCCAGCACACTGGCCCAGCATGCCACCACACTACCCCAGCCTGCCACTACACTGGCCCCGCCTGCCACTTCACTGCCCCAACCTGCCACTACACTGGCCCAGCCTTCTACTGCACTTGCCCAGCCTTCCACTACACTGCCCTAGCCTGCCACTATACTGCCCCAATTTGCCATTATACTGCATTAGCCTGGCCCTATACTGCCTCAATTTACCATTTATACTGTATTAGCCTGCCACTATACTGCCCCAGCCTGCCACTATACTGCCCCAGTTTGCCAGTATACTGCCCTAACCTTTCACTATACTGCCATTAAACTGCCCTAGCCTGCCACTATACTGCTTTGACCTGCCTCTATACTGCCCTAACTTGCCACTATACTTCTCTAGTCTGCCACTATACTGCCCTAATCTTCCACTACCCTGCTCTAACCTGCCACTTTACTGCCACTATACTGCCCTAGCCTGCCATTATACTGCCCCAATCTGCCACTATGCTGAACTAGCATAACCACATCTCTCTTATATACAGTATTTGTGATTAAAGTATGACATTAGATTAATGATATGCTGCTTTCAAAACCACACCTGTCTTAAATGAATGCCTCATCCCTAATTTAAGTACATTCTTCATCTACAGTGGCTTTCTGGGCACATAGCGAAAAAAAGGTGATGGAAATGTTATTAAAATGTTGGCAACTATGCTGAACTCCTTCTCCTATCTCTGCACTGCACACAACCTGGGCAAAGGCAGCAGAGCTCCTGCTCCCCACACAGCACATAGCTGAGATCAGATTCCCTTACATACAACCACAATTTGTACAGTGTGTGGCTGGCTACTATGTTGCAGTTCTGACCTGTGAAATTCCATGGTCAGTATGGTAGCGCAGCAGCTGCAGAAGCCAGCTACACACTGTGCAGATCAAGGTTGTGTGTAAGGGAATCCAATCTCAGCTATGTGTAATGTGTGGCGAGGAAAAGATTTGCTGCCTGTGCCCAGCCTGTGTGAAGTGCAGGGATGTTGTAAGGGAATTCCTGTATGGCAACTGGCTAATAGAAATGAGCATAGGCTCGCGCATGCACGCAAAAATGCATGCACACGGGTGCACACACGCGGGAGCGTGCCCACTGTTTCTGGCACCAGACAATTTAAAGGAGGCTCTTACTCTCTGTCAGTGCTGACTGGTCTTCAGCTAACTTCCTGTTTCCTGCTGTATACTGTGTGTATCAGTTACTGACCCGACTTGCCATTGACCTGCTCTTGGTCCCTCGTCCCTGTCTGATGTTTCGGTACCTCATCGCCTGCTCGTTCCTGGCCCTGGCTATTACTCTGACTACGCTTCCGGCTCCAGTTTTGGCTCTACAGTCCTGCCGAGTGCCTGTCCTGGCTGTCATTACATCAGCTCCGGTTGTCACGGTGTGTTCCGGCCTCACGCTTATCAGAAGTTCTGGCAAGCCACGTACCCAGATCTTGCAGTTCCAGTGGTGTGCTTCCTTAACCTCAGCTGGCCGTTCCGGCATCTCCTCTGTTCCTGACTGGATGCCCCGTCTGATTTACCGAGGTTACATCACCAGCAGCAAGTTCCACAATCAATATCCACAGGCACTCGTGTTCCTCCTGTCCTTCGGCACCATCTGTTTCACCTTCAGTGGGGCCTGGGTTGGAGATACAAGAGAGGCTGACCTCCTCAATTCAGACTTCTATTAGGTACGTGACAGATGTGAAAAGGAGTTCTGCTTTGTCCGAAGTGACCCCTGACCTTTGCCTTGCCAGCTGTTTCCCTGATCTTTGCCCTGTTTACGTTTTTGTCTCCAGCCTGTTTTTCTGCCCAGTGTTTTTCCTTTGTACAGCCTGCCATCAAGGTCCAGCGATGTGGAGGTGCGGAACTCATCTTGGTTTACTCCTATTACTCACGACCTTCTAGATCTCTCAAGTGATTGTCTCCTGGAATGTCAGAGGTCTTAACTCTGCCATTAAGAGGTCCTTAGTTTTTTAGGTTTCTCCAGAAGTTCAGCCCCCATGTCTGTATATTGCAAGAAACCCACCAATTGGGGTCTAAAATTATGTGTCTCAGGAGACTTTGAGTGGGTGTGCACTACCATGCCACCTATTCTAATTATGCTCATGGGGTGAGTATCCTCATTCGTAAATCTCTTCCGTTTCTGGTACTTGACATTCACACTGACCCGGATGGCAGGTTTGTTATAGTGCATACCCAAATCTATGACAGGGAGCTGGCACTGGTGGGACTATATTTACCCCCCTCAAGCCTCTGTTCAGGTTTTGAATACTATTAAGCAACTGGCTGTAACTTATGATACGAATAATGTGCTGCTGTTGGGTGATTTTAACATGGTCCCTTGCCCGGATCTGGATGGGCTAAACGCGACGACCTGGACTTCTTCTGATTTCCCATATGGAAGAAAATATATTTGAAATATATTTTAAAAATATTCTTCCCAAATATATTGCCATATATTTGAAAAGCTACAATATTGGCCATATTCAAAATATATTCCAATAACAAACAAACAAACAAAAAATAAAATAAAATAATATATATATATATATATACATACATACATACATACATACACACACACACTGCATTGTGAAATGCGTTTTTATTACAAAATATATGAAAAATATTTTTAAAAATACATTTCAAATATACTATGTCTTTAATCACTTCCTGTCCGGACACTTTTACCCCCTTCCTGCCCAGGGCAATTTTCAGCGTTCAGCTCTATCACACTTTGAATGATAATTGCGTGGTCATGCAACACTGTACCCATATGAATTTTTTGCCATTTTTTTGAGACAGATAAAGCTTTATTTTGGTGGTATTTATTCACCACTGGGATTTTTATTTTTTTTACTATGTAAATTAAAAAGTCCAAAAATTTTGAAAAAAAGTGTGGGTTTTTATATAAAATTTTGCAAATAAATAATATTTCATCATAAATCTTGGCCAAAATTTATTCCGTTATTTTTTTATTAAAAAAAAAAATCCAAATTAGTTTATAACCAAAAATTAAAATTTTTAAACATTTATTTTTACATTTTTATTTTATTTTTTTATATTATTTTTTTTTTACTTTTATTTTTTTACATACTGTCACCCTAGCAGTACAGTGTCACCATGGTGACACTGTACTACTTGTGGGGTGTGATGATTTTTTTTTTTTTTTTTACACTGATTGCTTTTACACCCATATAGGATGTAAAAGCAATCATTTTCTCTTTCTCTCTGTCTGCATTCTTGCAATCATTGAGAAGTACTGAGTGAGCTGTGATTAGTCACAGCTTGTCACATGGTACAAGGCTGTTGTGAATAGCCTTGTACCATGTGACCTCTGTGATCATTCACAGATTTCACATGTAGTAAGCAATGATGTCACAAGTGACATCTTGCTTACTACTTTGCATGTGATCACTGATT